ACCAGTATAAAGTTCGAAACAAGCTTTGAAATGAATTTGTAAGGTAACAAAGCTCCAAGAAATTGAAAAACATCTTGTTGAAGTGGATGTTGTAAGTCGTTGTAGTCTTCGTCGTAGAATGCCGTGGCATCGCTCGCACCGTTCCTGACGACAGCCCGCGTTTATTATATAAAAAATATCGTTCGTGATATTGCCCAAAAAGGTTTTGTTAGTCTATATGAGTTAAAGCCATTAATCCTCAAATTTTGATTTTGATAGCAATTTTGTTTGTGTGTGAGTAAGTAGAAACTTTTGTGAAGCCAATAGAGAAACTCAACTGACTTTGAAAACCTTATTACATTGATTAAGAAACCTTAATACGCGTACTGTTTATTTCTGTTCCTTTTTTCAAAACTTAAAGAACTTTTAACAAACTTATTTTTGTCTGTTATGCTTAGATGAGTTATAAACTCTACAGCGCTTTTAAAAAAAAAATCTAAGTGAATGTTGGGTCAGGAATACAAAGCTTAAAAATGCAAAAAAGGCTTCTTTTTTTCTTCAAAATCTATCCTTGTTTCCCAGAGGAGTTTTTCAGTATTTTAAATTAGTGCAGCAAAGAACGAATTAAACAACTTTGATGAAAAGCATTCTGACGTATAAAATAAAACTGTATGAAGTATGAAATGATAAAGCAAGATATGAAATCGCCCTTTATGTACATTTGTTTAAATCACAACTTTTGAGAAAAACAACTGGCTGCAGTGCTCTGAGTAAAAATTGCCTCACACATTTTTGAGTACAATATCAAATCAAACTCGTATTTGCAGCCAATACAACAATGAAAGGCGGCCGTAACTATTTGTTTTTTTTCGTATGTATATTGTATGAAGGCTAGTACAAGTTTTGGAAAGATCTTGCCTGGTCCTGTCCTTTTTGAAAACCTGGATGAAAATGATGTGGAGCACTGGTAGAGGCGTCCAGATCCCTTGTCAAGCGGAGAGCATTGTGCACATCAAAATATTTTGGTCACGATGACAATGATTGCCGAACCTTTAGTCTTTTGAGCTTTCAATTGCATGGTTTCTCATATTTAGTTCCCAACTTTATCTTACAGTCAAATGTTAAAAAGTGTTCATATTTACATTTGAGATATCAAGAAGTCACAAATCGACATTCATGATATGATTGTTAATGATCATTAACAGCTCGCACTCTAGACTTAACGCCTCAAATAGCCGCAGTCGATAAAACTGGAACCAGTTCTAAACTAGTATTTATAAACCACTTATATTATTGATAAATTACCACCATAAAAAATTACCAACTAACCAATCATATTCCATCTCTAACATTGACACTTATTTGTAGGTGCTGAAGCTACTTGTAGTTTCAGCACCAGAGCAATTTGAATTAAACTTAGAATACAGTTGTTCTCATTCTGGAAACTAATTCGCATAAACCGGTGTACACTAGATCTATTGAGACTAGGAGATATAAGAGTAAGATTAAATTTGGTATTAGACTAAGAAGTTGCAAGAATCTATCCGGCCGAAAACAAGATAGCGTGACGAACAAACGGTGTACCTTATCTGAAATTACTCTATGAGTACAGGTTAAAGGTCATAACTCACGACTTTAATGAAAGTTTTTTTTAAATGACTAGTGAAAAACAAAAATAATCATAAATAATTTTATCTTGCTCGTACAAACACAACAGATAAAACAGGTGCAACGGAAAAGTTCCCGAGAAAGAATGGATGGTCGATTGACTAGTGGACACTTTAACAGACTGACAACTCAGTTTTTTCCAGTATTTAGTGACGCCGATTATATGCAGGGAAGATGATTACGACCAGAAAAAGGGGGTGATATCTATTAACTCGAATTCAAACCGACACCGATTGCGACATGAGACAAATTTAAATAAATCCTTAGACGTGAGATGTTCCACGAATTAATTGTTCCTGGTAGTTGCTCAAGAAAAATTTGTTTTTGATTGATATAAATCTGCAACAAATTCATTGATAATAATTGCCTCAAAAAAAATTAAATGAAACCAGGTAGTTTTTACGTAGCGATTGTCAAAATATATTTAAGAAAAAACTCGTTTCTCTGTTTAGTCAATTTTCAAGCTCGTAAGTTTAATTATGAAGATTTTTTCACATCATCGGCTATCACTTTTAGATGTTGTATTTTGATCGACAAAGCGCTACACTTTTCAAAATTACTCTTGTGCAACGAGGAAATTTGAGTTCCCAGAAATTTAATCAGTTTTGAAAACAAAAGTGTGCGATATTAACAAATGAGACAGTCTCGGGTCGAGGTGCTCGACTTATGTTTCGACTTTGAAAGTCTTGTAAGTGCAGTTTTGCTACTGAAATGCCGCGGTCAAAATGCAATTTTAAGTCAAGCACAAGGTCAAAACATACCCGATTTTTATCGAGATAGTCGATACTTAGTCGGGCAAAGTCGAAATATACCAGTTCTGGTCGAGAAAATCGAAACATAGGTCGAGCATGTATCTATTTGTTTTACAAGTTTTAATTCATTTTGAAGATTAAGTTCATTTTAAATTGGAAAAAAGCAGAAAAAAAATCAGCTCAAAAAGGATTCCGTCAGAAGTTGCAATTGTCAAAAATCATTTTAGGAGATTTGCTCACCTCAAAACTGGAAATTACAGAGGGAACCCTGTATTTTTTTTTGAGTTTTAAGAATTCTTGTGGCAAAAACATTAAATGCTGCTGAAACTTTCTCAAGTACTAATTTTCAGATCAGCAACTACACCACATTCTATTTTCATTGACGCTGCTTGAATCTAATCTGAGATTTAAAAAAAAATGGAAATATTTTTGTCTGTTGAGAAACTTGTGGCAATCGAAACATACCCACATTTAGCCGAGAACCTTGAAGCATATCTATAACACTAGATATGCTTCCGTTTTACTACTCAAAAACCTTCTGTTGTGAAGGGGAAAAGCAGTTGAAAAGGAGAGAATTGTTATTGTTTTAGCAGCATACGAAATCACTTAACGTTCTAGCAGCAAAATGTTTTAGTTATAATTAGAGTTTTGAGACAGTTTTTGTTTTTCAAACCAACATAATATCTCAACTCTCAACATTGCACGATTTTGATATTGATAATGATTCAACCACCGTGCACTTTTCAGATGCGGAATTCTAATCAAGAAAGCTGAACACTTTCAAACTCATTGTATTTTTTAGGTATTGGTGGAAATTGATTTTCTCGAGTTTGGAACAGATTAAACAAAAAGAAAGAAAACAAAAGTTGCTCAGAAATTCAGCGGAATTAATATTGGCCAATTTTGTCTCCGAAATTTCCAAGCAAATTTTATCCCCAAAATTTGGTCATTTTGGCTTTTTTTGATTGATCAAAGAGTCAAGAAATGTAATTTTCTTATAAAAAACCCAAAATTTTTGCTTAAAAACAAATTTAAAACAATTTGCTCAAGTTTTCGGAAATTTAAGTTTTCTGGAAACTTGTTGGGCTGTGTAAGAGGCTTTTGTGATTTATATTTCAAATCAATTACCAAAGTGGTTTCAGCGTCATTTTTGATCGATCGAAACAAAGCTAAGCTGACCGACATTTGGGGGAAAATTTTGGTTGAGAATTTTGGAGAAAAAATTGCACAATATTAGTTCTGCTGAAAACCTAAGCAGCTTTTGTTCTCTTCATTTCTTGTCTATTCTTAACCCAAATTGCAAAAAACGTGTTTGAAACTTCTTGTTTTGTTGTTTTTGTCCAGATAATTTAAATCAGCACTGTACTCTATTGCTAGCTAATGACGCCTTTCCATTTTCAACCGATATTTTAAAAATACATTGAGTTTAAAGTGTGAAGATTTCTTGATTAAAAAGCCGCATCTGAAAAGGGCACGGTGTTTGAATCATTTTCGATATCAAAACTGTGCCATGTTGAGAATTGAGATATTATGTTGGTTTGAAAAATAAAAACTGTCTCAAAACTCTAATTATAACTAAAACAATTTGCTGCTAGAAGGTTAAGCGATTTCGTATGCTGCTAAAACAATAACAATGTTTTCCTTTTCAACTGCTCTCCCCCTTCACAACAGAAGGTTCTTGAGTAGTAAAACGGAAGCATATCTATTGTTATAGATATGCTTCAAGGTTCTCGGCTAAATGTGGGTATGTTTCGATTGTCTCAAGTTTCTCAACAGACAAAAATATTTCAAATTTTTTATAAATCTCAGATTATTTTCAAGCGGCGTGAATAACAATAGGATGTGGTGTAGTTGCTGATCTGAAAATTAGTACTTGAGAAAGTTTCAGTAGCATTTAATTTTTTTGCCGCAAGAATTGTGCATAAGTTGAGAATTGAGATTGTATGTTTGAAAAATAAAAAATGACTCAATACTCTAACTATAGCTAAAACTTTTTGCTGCTGAAACATTAAGTGATTTTGTGTCTTTGGGGTTCTTGTTTTTTTTTTCAATTGGTTAAACAGTTTACATTGTTACGCAATCAAGATTACGGCTCTAAAGTTTTGAAGAAAAGAAACTAGCAAATGTTGGTTGGAACCCATAATCTCCAGATAGTCCATTTCATCAGAACCAGCTACTCCCCAATCATCAGCACTGATCCAAAGTCTCTGATGCTCATTGAAGTCTCTGTTCTTTACTACATTCTTATGCCAAAATTGTGTTGAGAGATCCATTTGGGTCAAAAAACACTTAGATTTGGGTTTTTCAACTTAGACCCTTTAAGTGAAAGTTTCATAGAGCATGAGAAACTTTTGTTTTTACACAGAAAAGAATGCCTTTTTTTGAATAAATGGGTTTTTGGAGAGAACGTGTGTTGGACAAAAGTTAAGTAAAAAATAAAATAAGTTCAGTTAAGAGTAAAAAGTGTTTTCGACTCAGATGTTTGAGTTCAATCAAGGTCGTAATCAGCCAACATAGTTTTTGTTATGGGGAAAAAATTGAGGTTGTATCCTATCATGAACAGTTTCCATCCAAAAAAATGCAAGCTGATCGTATCCCATCAACTTATTAAATATGTTGGGTTCTTGTTGACCAACTTGGCAGCAACTGAACTTAGCTGAATTCTAAAATTAACAAAAAAAAATCCGTAGTGCCTGTTTCCAAGCTGTGCTCAAAATAAAAAACTTTTTCTCAAGTCAAAAAAGTGGTAGCAAACGTTTTTAATCAAAATTACATTCATTGGGCCTGTTTAAAAGATAAACTTTGAAAGGTGCAGTCTTTATGCTCCTTCTTGAAATGCTCTCTAGTCGTTTTGGTCCTAATTCTGCCCTGCTGCTCGGTGTCCTGATCCTATGAAGACTTGATCCTGTCTGTCACCTTGTCCCCTCACCCAGTTAAAATTCCCAGTTGTACTTGAAGATGTCAGTGCTATCTGAACATACTCACAACGCCCCCGAATCAGGCATCCAATTTCTTTCGAGTACGTTTGTCAAAACAGTCAGCTGATTATAAAATTTTAAAGGATTTATTTAGCATAGATATCCGATCAACCCGATCGAGTATTAAACTATTTTTTTTGTTTTTATGGTGTTTCAGACTTCAATGCTGGGCAGCAACTGAAAAGAGTCAGAAAATTAGAAGAACCGATTAATAATTGCAGGTAAACTGACAGAAAATCGGTCTGAAGTCAAGTTGCTATTCGCAAGTTGTCCGATAATAATATATTCGAGTGGAAATGTCTTGTTCCCGATAGAGAGCACCGAGAATTTATGCAAAGAACCATCACTGGACAAAAGAACACCTTGTTTGGCAGGTCGACGAGTGAAGCCACCCAGTGGTCCAGTAGATAAAACTTCTTGAGTTTAAAATAAATACTTAAATTTTCTTGAGTTATCCTAACTAATTGATTAATCGATTCATGAGCCGTAGTCAATATGTGAGTACTGAATTTAGTTTCTAGAGTGCATTTTATAGAGTTATATTGAGGTAAGGTGGGTTTTAGGTTGATCCATCAGAAATAGATCAAAAGTACACAGTCCCTTAAAAACTAATGGTACTTACTTGAATTTCCACACACTGTGTTAAATGGTGTTCACGTGTTTTAGATATCTAGAGACTTAGCCAAGGAGACGTGATTTTTTCAAGAGTTGGTTTTTTTTTGGTATTAGCCTTTAATCCTTAAAATGATCTTGATGTCCCTTGTCTTAAGCGAACCGAATTGGCTCCAACAGAATGAGGTGCAAAAGCACAAGAGGAAGTGTCCTGGTCCCTTGAACAGTTTTGTTTTTCGCCACAACTGAGAAAGAGCGAAAATCAGGCGAACAAAATAGGTTCTAAAAAAGGCCTTTAACCAAGAGCCAGAAAGGTTGTTGGGAACTCGGAAGCCTTCCGGAAGCCCGACTTAAATTTTCAGCATATTTGAAGCCAAAAATTTAAGGCTGAGCGGTATATGACCAGAAAAACTTTAAAAAATACGAAACCAATCAAAAAGTAGTATAGTACCTAAAAAAACATAAAAGTAACCAAAAAAACCAAAAACAGTAGAAATAGAAAATCAGTAGAAATCATCCCCCTAGAGGAGATGTGATACGACCCTCACGTTTGTTGTTAGATATATTGTTGTTGAAGGCATTTATATCAAATCGGATTGTTCCGATCAAAACTCTGGCCTTTTTCTGGTGCCTGTACTGTAGGGTTGTTTGAGTATCTAAGCACGTTAATGCTTATTTGCGCTCAATCCGGAAAAGTCAAGTGTTAAGAGTGGAAGACTGATCCGGCAAGCAGCGCAAAGAGCAGCAGAAGCATTCTCAAAGACCACAACAACCGACTGTATTGTTTTTAAGTTCTGTATCCTTTTTGGTATAGAAAGAGCGATATCAATCTGTTGGGGGCTCGACAGTGACTTCACTGTAGTGACCCTCCGCTGAGTTTCAAATTTCCGAGTTAAGCACCATAGTTCAGATATTGAACGGACCCGGAGGGGAATAATACTATTAGAACTACTATTAAAACAAAGCGTATTAGTTTTGCGATACAGTTTTCAATCAAATAGACCATTAATAGACTAGTTTTTGGAGTCAAAATAATGATTTTTTGATCACACTCAAATCTTGAATTTTGAGATATCCATAATTTTTCAAAGGGGTAAAAGCCATAGGTTTTTGAATTAGAGCGTAATTTAACTATAATAATTAGTGGAACTGGTTGAATTCAGTTCAGACGTGGTTGGATCTAATTAGGTGCCGAAATCCGATTTTTCGTGATTTTTGAAAAAGCAAAACGCCGCTAAAAAATAAAACTTTTTGAAGTTTTTGAGTTAAGGTGATAAAAAGTTTTGTCCGGACAACATACGCTGTTGAATCAACAGGTTTTAGAACCTGTTTGCCAACAACCTTCCTGGCTCCAGTGAAATCGAAATTAATGTGTTTGGTTTAGTGGGTCCATCATTCCGGAGGGGTCGAAATAGCTTTGTTTTTAGCAAATTTTTTTCAGCTGAAGGCCTTCATAATGGGTTTTTGCATTGAACAAAAAATAGGCTTTTCGAGCTCAGATCAATAAACTTTTAGGTGAATAGGACAAAAATTGCAGAAAAGTTAGGCGGAACCTATAAAATTTAAAATTTTTGAATTTGCACAGAACACGTTTTGCGTCGTAACTCAGAAACAACTAGACCAACCTAGTTCATTTTTTTACTTTTAGATCAGGAATTAAGAAGGTTCAAACGTGATTCAACGATTTTTTTAAGAATCTGAACAGAGGAGATTATTTAGGTTGTTTTTTATCAAAATTACCAGTTTTGAGGGTAGACCCATTTCTGGAAAGTCATTATATCCCTCTCAAACGGTAGCAACAGTTGATTTAGGTGCTTTAACGCTGATCCAGATAGTAAGGAAGGGTTAAGGAACCTTGAAATTAGTAAGCAAGTCGGAAATAGGCCACTTAGTAAACCCCTCCCAGTTAAGGGAAATTGTTAAATAAGCAGCTTAGCTTCAATCCCGAAGGGTTCGAAGTCAGAAGTCAGAACGAACACTTCCCAGTCGGTTGGTTTTGCATAACAGCCTCTCAGACTGTATCCCGAAGGCTCTCGGCTTAAACTTATGACAACTCGGAATAGTCACAACTTTGCCGACTCGGAGGGATCCCAATCCGGAGGGGTCTAGTTTTTGCCCATTCAGAGGGGTCTCAATCCGGAGAGGTCTTATTTTTGCCAATTTGGAGGATTACCAATCTAAAGGGGTCTTGTTTTTGCCGACTCGGAGGGGTCCCAACGCGGTGGGGTCCTGTTTTTTTGGCAATTCGGATGGGTGTCTGAACGCCAATCCGGAGAGGTCTAAAAAATGTTTAACAAAAGCAAACGTAGGGATCCTAATACGTGCGTATATGAAAGCACGACATTTAGTGGATAGAATTAGGAAATTAGGACAAATAGGCAGACCAAGTAAAAAAGGAAACCATTGACAGCACTGGCAACTTGCCTTTTAATATGCACTGAAAAGACCATAATATGACCACAATATATCTGTTCCATTGCTAGGTCTCTTGCATTGCTGATTTTTATATCCCTGCCCAATGCTAGGTCTCTGAATACCTGAAACTCAAGAAAACAGTTTAAAACCGGTTGGGAACAAATCAAAATTATTGTTTTTTTTTAGAAAGTGCCTGTTTGATCCATTTGGGATATATCAACCTTAAACACGTTCTGTCGACATTATCGGACAAAATTAGCTCGAATTAATTATGCAGGTCAATTTCCAATAGCAAGTGGGTTCACGGTCTTTTTTTCTAGTGTGGTTACCGCAATTGTAAAATTGGCTGCTCTGATTTTTAGTTCCTATTACCGCGAGAAAACAGCCTGACAGGGCCACTTCGATTGTTTGAAAAGTTCAATTCGAACCGAAAATTTTAACTCGACCGACCGGCAGAGAAGACGCACGTGCTGTTGCTGTTGGAGATTAGAACTTTTAGCTGCTGCTGGTGCTATTGCCCCCAGTAACTTCCCTATAGTTTCCTCCTCAAGTTTTGTGACATTCGAACAGAATGACTGAAAATGCATGTCATCAAAGAATTTTTTTTCGAAGCAGTTTGGCGGAAGACCTAACTGTTTTGGACGGTTAACAGTGTTAATCGTTCCATTGAACGTATTCGGAGGGGACAATTTGGACTGACGGTGTTTTTTTACTTTTTGAATTTGGTATGCATGACATGTAACCATTTATTTTTCGCGACAACTGAAAGCGTGTGCCAGTCGGTCATATCCTGAAGTTTTATCTTGATTTTTGGTTGAAATTTTATTTTTGAAAAATTTCAACTGGCCATGTCATGTTTTATTTTATCGCTGAAAAGGGAAAGTCGGAAATTAGAATAGCCGATTAATAGTTTCGAAAAAAAACTGACAGAAAATCGGTCTGAAGTCAAATTGCTATTCGCAAGTTGTCCGATAATAACCTATTCGAGTGGAAATGTCTTGTTCCCGATAGAGAGCACCGAGAATTTATGCGAAGAACCATCACTGGACAAAAGAACACCTTGTTTGGGCAGGTCGACGAGTGAAGCCACCCAGTGGTCCAGTAGATAAAACTTCTTGAGTTTAAAATAAATACTTAATTTTTCTTGAGTTATCTTAACTAGTTTGATTAATCAATTCATGAGCCGTAGTCAATTTGTGAGTACTGAATTTAATTTCTAGATTGCATTTTTTGAGTTATGTTGAAGTAAGGCGGGTCTTAGGTTGAACCACCTGAAATAGATCAAATGTCCAAAGTCCCTTAAAAACTAATAGTACTTATTTGAATTTCCAAACACTGTCTTTAATGGTGTTCATGTGTTTTAGGTATTTAGAGACCTAGCCATGGGGATGTGCTTTCTTCACAATTTGGGGGTTTTTTGGTAGTAGCCTTTAAACTGTAACGCGATCTTGATGTCCCTTGTCTTAGCGCACCGAAGTGGCTCCAACATAATGAGGGGCAAAAGCAAAAGAGATAGTGTCCCAGACCCTTGAGCCGATTGTTACAGGGCCTATTTCTCTTACCTTTTATGTGACGTTAGCGAACGAGTGAAAGCGCGAAAAACTGACGAA